AAAGTTGTTAACGAGAAAAAAATCACGTAATATTTTTTCAACTGATACCTATACATTTCGTACTTTTTTCCGTGTTCGTCCATTTTTTTCTTAGTTTTTATAATTTGTTGGGAAAAGTTCTGGGAAAATCAAAAAACGACCCCGTTAAGGTTCCTCCCCAGTCCAATTTTCTTTCAGAAAAAGTGCTAGAATTAAAAATCGGAGCATAATATCTGGTAGGAAAGTTGCGCGCTGATAAAAAAAAAAAAAAAATCTTTGTGAAATCATAATCATATTAAATATAAAAGAACAGATTTATAAAAAAAAAATTGACAAATTTTAACGGTTACTGTTATAAATATAATCGAACAGAAAAAAATAATCACTGATAAACACCACGACATGCATAAAATACGGTGTCTATACACACTATCACTTTACATCCATAACAATAATATAGTAAATATAATATTAATTTCTACGTGACTATGTACTTCTTTATTATATTCGTATAAGCCTATTTCTATAAAAGTCTTAAAAAAAAAAATAAATAAATAAATAATATTCTTTACACTAAATATTTCTCCGTGTTGATCCATTTTGTGTGACATTTTTTTTTTTTTTTTTTTGATACTCGGCCGGAAGCCCGAACCCCTAGGCAGCTGCCTAGTTTTCCTAGGCGGAAGTTCGGCACTGTGTGTGACAAACAAATCTGCGTATTTTAAGTTGCCTACAGTACGAACAATTTAGAGTATTTTCACTAACCTATAAAAGGTGTTACCGGGAAAAAAAAATCAGGTCCTCGTATTCGTTCAAGCGTAATCTAATCACAATCAGCATCACCATTCTACGTCTGTTATTTGAGTACCTGTTAAATTTATTTTTAGATCAGATGATATTCCACATGTCGACACGGCGCCGAAACACACACTTTGGAAATCGCCGTATAATACAAACGAAATTGCCCAATATCCTATAATATAATATACAACTTCCCGATTGCCCACGTACAGCATCGGCTTACCCTCGGTGCGAAATATGTTCGGGTTTTTAATTTCAGAATACGATATTGTAATATGCATCGCGCATCGTTATAATCGCGTGAATACTTTGTGAAGGAATTTAGTTTTTTTTTTTTTTTTGTCATTAAAAACGTCTTGCGTTTCGATTTCTCGACTTTCCCCCGTTATTAACCTCATTTATTTATTAAACTCGCTCTTTACGTCGCCTGCAATCATTAACGAAATTAATTTTCTTTTGTGAACGCTCGTCGCGACACTGCTGATACGCTGCTGCTGCTACAGAGGACGTTGACAATAAAACGTGCCGTACTGTTACGACTAAACCCATAAAAAACAGTCGGTTAAAAACTATAACGCGCAGTACACTGTACTTATATACACGGTCGTAAATAAACTCGAGTTGAATATTTATTGACATTTTTTTCCCCCTTTGAGCGAACGCGCCTTAAATTACATTTTGTATACAATTGCTGTAATATATATATATATGGGGAGACTACGTCTTGAACTTTGAATTATCGAGTTTTTCGACTTATCGTGTTTTGGATGTTAGCACATGTGCTCGTATGTAATCAAAATATATGTACAAACGTGGTGACAGACGGACGGAAATCGACCGAAACATTCGGCGTTTTAAAAATAATCCAATACACATGCAGGTTCTTCCAAATTCCACGTTACAGTCAAATTGACCACGACTTATTTTTCAATAAATTACTTCAATAAATAAATACTTTTTAGAATTATGTTTTCTAAAATATCACATTACCCTGATTTTTTATATTAAAACGGTTACCTATTTTTGATTTTTAAATAGCAACCTATATTAAAAATCTGATAAATATACGGAGTATTGTTTAAATTTTGGAGTTGAAATGTTTGATTCCTGTCAACCCGTTAACGAGATACTTAATTTTTAATTTTGGATAAGGAGAGAGTTGTGGATCATCATTTGTATGCCGGTGTCACAGGCATTTCGTACAAAGGAACATCATACCCCATCTTGGTGTAATTATGCTAGGATAATCATACTTCGCCGGTAGCATGATGCTAGAATATATATATCCCTTGAATTCGTTTGCCGGGGTATAATTATCTTAGTATTATCACACCCCTCGGTACCATAATTCTAGTATTTTTATACCCCTCCCAATTTACCATACTTTCCAGGGAGGTATGAAATTCCTAGAGCATTTAAGCACCATAATTCGGAAGTTTTTTAAAATACCCATCCGGGATCTTCACTAATATATAAATAGGTATGTTAGGCGATCTTCATATTAAAAGTACCCCCTACCCACTTCTGATTTTTTAATTAAGTATATCTCGTCGGGATTTTGTGACAAGAGTGATAAGAGAATGGTTTCAAAGCCAAAAAACTTTACAAATTTTAGTAAATTAAGAGATATATAAATACTAGATTTATGATACCGAGGGGTATGATAATTTTAGGATGATATTACCCCCCCGCAAACGAATTTATGGGATATATATATCCTGGAACTATTCTACTGGCCGAGAATAATAATTCTAAAATAATTGCACCCGGGGGTATAGTTATTCTGGGGGTATGATTTGCCTGTTAAACCGACACAGCGCGTGGCGTTTGAAAAGTTTTAAAAATAAGGGTTATAAAAATAAAGAAAATGAAAAATTTTAGAACATAATATGATATTAAAAGTTTTTAAATAATTTAACTGTAACATAAAATTTAAAGACGTTGTACATAATACATGCACACGTTTAGTGGTAAAACCACGAAAGAGAGAGAAAGAAAGATAGAGAGAGAGAGAATGTGTTCAGAAATATTTTTTGGAACTATTGGCCGGATCAGTTCCAAAAACCGTTCAACCCAGATGTAGATGCGATATAACGTTTTGTTATCAGTGGCGTGCGCAAGGGGGCCTGATTATAATATACTCATCCTCGTCGCATTGACAAATCATAGGTACTCTAAAAAAAAATTAAAGAGGGCTAAAGTCTCTGATCATTTTTACGATCATTATTATGAATAGGTTCAGTGGCGTATTTAAGACTTCACTTCAGGGGGACGATATTAAGGAAGGCCAACCCCCCTTAAAAAGAGAATTGTAAACATTTTATAGAATAAAGCACATTTTTATTTACAAAACAGGATTTATACTCCTTTTATTAGTATTTACAAATTTATGTGATATCAATGATATCATCAATATTTAATGCAACTGATTTATAAGTATTAAGTAATGCCAAACCCGTTAAGCGATTTTGGCCGCCTATTTTTGATCTCTGCCGAGTTTTCAATCTATTAATAAAAAAATAAATGTAGCAGATATGATTAATATAAAGATATAAATAATAATAAAGTGTTAAGTCAAAAAGTGGAAATTAGGCGAGTAGTAATCAAAAAGAAAAAATATGAGAATTTAACTAGATACCAATCATTATTAAAAATTAAATTAAGAGAAATTCAGTATTTAAAACATTTACTACATTCCGAATAATAAAGCGATTTATTTCAAAGTTGTTACTGACTTGTTAGTAAGACATCAGAAACATCTAAATATTAGTATATTTAGATATAGTATTATATTTAACACGTGCGTTTAATTATTGAAACCCCAGCATAAAGCAGCTGAAAAACGCAGGTGATATTATGAGCAGTCTTCGTTTGCGCATCATTATTGTTAATTTTGACCTTTTTCGTGAGACAGTAGCTCATCGACTAAACAACTTCATGAACGCAATAAAAGGAAAGGAAAATCTTATCATCCTTAAAGATTTTAATGCCAGTGTTGGCGAAGTAAGATAATTATACTTAATTGGAAAATATGAACTTGGAGTAAGGAACACAAGAGGCGACACTCTTATAGAGTTTTACACAAAACATAAGTTATTAATAACAAATACACACTTCCAACACCGTAAAAGAAGACGTTATACTTTGAAAGCTCCCGGTGATACAAGACGGTTTCAAATAGATACTGGTTAGGGAAAGATTTCAAAATCAAGTGAAAGACAGCAGATGCTATCTAGAGGCAAATATCGATAGTGACCATAATCTAGTATTGATGCATTTTGATCTTAAATTTAAAAGAAATTAACAAAAAAATAAAAGAAATCGCAACAAGTAACGAACTTCAAAACTGAGACAGTCAGAGAAATGTATAGAGAAAAAACAAAGGTATAAGAGAATACAGTATGATGTAAGAATTCAAAGATGTGAATAACAAGTGGAATAACATTAAACAATGCCTATTAAAGCCTGCTGAAGAGGTGCTGTGATAAAGGAAAACAGCCGCTAGGAAGTAATGGATAACCAACAATATAGTAGAAATGAGAAATGAAAGAAGGAAGTATACGAATGCGACGGACCAATAGGGCATAGAAAAGTATAGAGGCATTTGTGTATAGTATTTTTAAGGAAGTGAACGTACAGCTAAAGTCAGGGAAAATGGACAAAACATATGGAATGGTTAAAACTTTTTTTTCGGAGACAGGAAAATAAAACTAACATGTATCAGAGGGGAAAGTGGTGAGATGCTGTTTGAAGAATCGGAAATAGCAAAGCGTTGGAAAGAATCCTTAGAACACCTATACAGTGAGGAAGAGGATCAAGACACACAAGTAGATGAAGATGGAGAATAGAAAGATCGGCTAAAGTCAGAAGGCCGATTCATAATAAAAGAGGAATTCGAAAAAGCTTTAAATGAGTTAAAGGATAGGAAAGCACTTGGTATAGACGAAATACCAGCAGAATTTATTAAGAACAGTGGAGAAAACGTCAGGAAGATTGAACTAGTCTACAGAATCTATGAAATGGGAAAAATACTGCAAGATTTTACAAAACGCGTAACAGTGCCAATACCAAAAAAAAAAAAAAAAAAGAATAAATACGTGGAACAGTATAGAATATTGAGTTTGCTTTCACATACATCAAAAATTCTTACACGTATTGTGTTGAGACGAATAAAAATCACTATAGATAATTTATTAACCGAAGACCAGTTTGGTTTTAGGATGCGAAGAGGCACGAGGAAAGCTATATTTGCACTTAGGCAAGTTATTGAAAAGAAAAATAGGAAAAGCAAACCAACGTTCATACCATTTGTAGACTTAGAGAAAGCGTTCGACAGTATAAAGCGGAAAACATTATTTCAGATTTTGAAGAAAACAGGGATTACAAACTCAGACAGAATAATAATTAAAAGTCTCTTTGAAAACGAGACAGGAGTAGTACGCTACGGAGAAAGTCAGGAAATAACAGAAATTAAGAAAGGCATAAGGCAGGGATGTTCATTATCCCCATGTTTATTCAACCTATATACATACAAGAAGCAGTTAATCGAGTGAGGAAATTAATAAAAGTAGAATTATGAATTATTATAAGTAGAACGACACAACGACATAATATTTATGAAAAAACGGATTGTCCTTTTTATTTAACTATACCTACCTTAAATCTTTTTTTTTTTTTTAAAATATGTAAAAATGAAAAATCATAATACTTATACCAATACCAATATATCAATAGGATCAGGATGTAATTAGCTGACTCTTTAATATTGTGTAGGTAATATTTATACTCCTGCATAGTTATACAAATGCATACAAAAATGAATAAATAATAATTCGTACATTTTAATACAAATTAATTAAGAAAAAAATGATTAATTTATATTATCTCAGGGAAAAGTCGGTTCTAAATAAATCTTCAATAAATAATGTCTGTAATGTAATACAGTTATTAAAAAAAATATAACTGTTCATTAATATATTTTTCTTAGGGGCAGTTTAATATTAAATTTATCTAGATAGATTTACCTAGATAAGCCCATTTTTTTTATCTAAGCTAAACATTATATAAATCATAACATAATTATCTAGATACGTTAAAAGATAATTCATTTTAAAAAAATCTTATCTAGATAATTTCCTATATTGGTTATGTTAAATGTTTAATGTTGCATGTTCATAAGGGCCCTTATAATTAAAATAAAATATATTATTACCTATCGAGAATTTTTTCAATTATTTCTTTACATATTCTCGCATACCTCACCTATACTCAATATTTACAGGAATTTTATTCAATTCATTTAATTTAAGTTATTTCACTTGTACGATTGCGTTTCTAAAATAAAAGTTCGTTTTATCATGATATACGATTTTGATACCCCTCCTCCTTTCCAACCAACAACTAACGTTGAAACGGCTGTTCATTTTACGAATAATACGAATTTCACCATGTTGTTGCGAGTGGAGAGGGTTTTTTTTTTATCATGATACGAATTAGACAAGAAGAAAATTGGACTCAAGTAACTGAGCTCTGCTGCTCTTGGATGTTTTTGGATCCGGTTTTCAAAATTATCATTGTCGGGTTAGATTTTCGGTACAACAGAGGCCGGCTCTACTCTTTATTCATTATTCGAGATTATTACTAACTAAATCATTTCTTATTGAAAATTTCCGGGCATGCCACTAATAATAATAGAACCGAGCTTGCACATTATAATAATACGTATCGTATAATATGCATCGATTTCGCGTTACAATACATGAATTATTTAGTCGCGTCATTCTGTATATTATTAGTATAGTAACGTGCACAAAGCAGAAAGCTATCCGTGTTTAACAACACGAGATATTATGTTGAAAATTATACAAACACTTTATTATAGGTACTTATTTATAATAATAATTTCGTTATTGGATAGTATTGAATATAATTTAATTTGCCGGAAATACTATTATAATATAGGAGTCGTATTATAGTGAATAGTGTATCCCCGAACGGCACTCGACATTAATGCGTAAACCCAGGGGCGGGTTTAACCAAGGGGGGGGGGGTGACTAATTGTGGTTCAAGAATTTACCTAGCTGTATTTTGAATCTGCATAAAATTTTAATTCACATACGTTTTACTCATATGTAAATCATTTTATTATTATTATTATTATTTGTTTAATATTTATACTGCTATCGATTTTCATCCGAAACCATTAAACCATCTTTAAATATAAACACATAAAAGTAACAACAAAAATTGGCTGCCAGTTGTTTATTTTCAAAAAATAAAAATATTTATATTACATTATTAATTCCAGGTTTCTTTTTTTAACTTTGGAAAATCGTTCAATGGTGTTATCTGTTGACACTTCTTTTTCCCTGCGAACACGAAGTAAAGCCAAATCATTCAACCCATCTTGGCTCATTCGGGATCTTAACCAATTTTTTAACCTAGACTTAAAACATTTTAGTAGAAAAATAAGGTTATTTGGTTATTATATTGATATTATAATTTTTAATGTAGATATACCTGTGCAAAGTATAAAAACTTCTTTCAGTTGATGAAATGCTGGTGGACATATACAACCAATAATTAAAAGTGTATTACTTTAATACTTGGAAATAGTACATCCTGACAATGACCCAAACCATCTATAACTGTAGTTGGTGGATAAAGTCCTTGAAATTAAGATATTCATTTGTTCTAAGATAATTTATACTGAAAAAAATAAATAATAGATATTATATTTACCTTCATTTTTAATTCTAGTCCATTTTGCAATTTATAATTCAAGTTCAGAGGAAAACCGTTGTTTTTCTATGACAATAAATGAGTATTCATTAAACGATTCTGAGCGGAACTCGGTTAATAATATTGCTTTTTTAACAATACATAATATATGACGTATCAAAGTGAAATGAATAAACAGGGTGATTCACTAAGCATGCTCAGTGTTCAATCTGTTTTAGATTCCGAGCGTAGCGAGTGTGTTATTGGATTTTCTAAGACGTATATTATTTTTTTTTTCTAGTCTGAGGATACGTTTTTTTCCTAGTAAACTTGCTCTGATATTTACGCGTAGCACTTTTGTTGATTGCTCAAGTTGTCTCGATTTTACTTTAAAAAGGTCATTTTTTTTGATTTTCGACGCCATGTTTTAAATAAAAGCACTAAAGTGGGAAAGAACGTAGGAAACCGTACAATTTCACTATTTCATTATTTTATAAAAACACGGACGACTTTTTTTTTTAGAAAAAATGATTTAATCGAAAAATCACAAGATACCTTTTTTGTTGTATTTTTTATTTACTTTCTTACGGTATCATTGCCAAAACTTTTGAGCCACTTTTGAGCTTTTAAGGAATTTTCATTTTTGGGAGTTCTTTTCTTTAATTCGATTATAAATACACGTAGAGACTTTAAACTTAGTAATAATACTTGTATTAAATATATTTCGCCAATATACATTGGCAAAAATTCCAAAATGATCAGACGACTTTTTTTTTATTTTAAAAAGTGTTTTGAAATCAAATTTAAACGAAAATCGCAACAAAAATTACGACAATTCAAATTAAGTGTACCGAACTGCGCTCGGAATCGTTTTTCGTCAAACAATGGTTTATCGTTGGTTACCGATCTAAATGAAATTATCTTATGTATCCTACGTTCCCAACTTCTCACCTACAACAGTGGCTGCTCTCATCCTCAGTATCAGATCTTTTTTTTAAATTTTATTTTGTATATATTCAAATTTTGATTTTTGGAATTTTTAAGTGTATAGTTAAAGCCAATATTTTCGAATACTTAGACCTCTCACAGCATTTATAAAGTATCGTGTAGCAATACAAACTTTGGTTTTTCAAATGAAAAACTGTATTAAAAATTCCATAAATAGACGGGGCGTTACTTTAAATAAATTTCGGTGTTAAAATGTTTGATTTCCATCAACCCGTTAACTAGATATTTCACTTTTAAATTTAGGCAGTGGAAGAGTAGTGAAACATTACCGCAGTGGAGTCGTACCACCAAACAAATAATACTCCATTACCGTTTCACAACTTAAACTCAAAAGTTTAAGGCATATACCAAATAAACAACAATCAAGAATCCTATACATTTCGTCGGTGCAATCAGTATTTACTTTTGGTATTGGGATTTGGGTTAACACTTTTGCTATCCATTTGAATAAAATTTAATTTACTATGAATAAAATTGTTAAGTTTATATTAAAATTACCAAGGCTTTCTTTGTCCACGAAAGAAGATTCTGATCTTTGTTCATTAATCGATATTATTACTATTGATTACAAATTTATTATAAAAGTATTTATAATCAATATCATTACTGACTAAATCCTATCCTATTGAACATTTCAAGGCATGCCACTAATAATAATAGAATCGCGGAGATACAAGAAATCGAGCTAGTATATAATAATAATAATAAATTAGTTAAATGGCGTACAATGATCATTGCGTTCGTTTATAAACGTATTGGATATTTTGAATAACTGTTATAATATAATGGCTAATGTGAAAAAAAACCAATGAACGGTTGCTATATGAGATTATGCTACCCAGGCATACCGTGACCGTGGTGACGGTTTAAAAAACGATAAGTTAATTATTATTTGTTTTTACATAAACTATAAATGTTTAAAATTATAAAAGTATTTAATTAGTAAAGTCAATGGTCGGGGAAAATTTAACCGCATATGAGAAATTAATAAGTCAAAGATCGTGAAAACTGTAAGTACGTCGTTTGGTGTAATATCCGAAATGGTTTAGCTCGTTTCCTGGTATAACTATATACTGTTTGAAATGTTCTTGTTTTTCTTTTTTTCTGATTTTTTAAATAAAATATTATTTTTGATTTTTCCGCGGATATGAACCTTTAATCGTAATCAGAGTTTCCGTTTATATGTATTATACGCTTTGTTTACAGGTCGTTCAAATTTTATGATTAAGTAAATTATATTATCCAATCGGATTTGAATCTAATTGAATTATTATTGGCAGATAATTATCTATTTCATTGATAAATCTTTGTAATTTATTTCATTTTTTAACAGAAACGACTTTACCCAACATAAAATCCATATGCTTACACGGCCACGCGTGCAATCCCCAAATGTAATCACGTTGTAAACAAACAATGATTAATCCACATGCGAATTATTTAGGTATAGAAATGTGTGGTAATACGCGCTGGACCGAATACGTAAACCTAATTTCAAATTATTTCAGGAAAATGTGTGGTTCATAAATCTATTATTGATCTCATCGTATGGAACCATTGGTGAAGATGGAACTTTCGAAATTGTTTAACAAACATTATTAACGAATCAAAATAATTCTCTGTTAGCGCATACATTCGAATTCTTTAATAATTTCTGTGTGCTAGTAGTTAAAAAACTTGTTAAAAGCCGTAGTAACTTATCTTAAGGAAAATAAATCACTAAAACACTGCACGCAAATAGGAGTATCAACATGAGATATGCAAATATATATTTTACAAGTGACGACAATTACAAAACGTCAACATAAACGTGATTGGAAATTGTGGGTACTTAAATAACGAACTCGCTGCCAGAAGTTTTGTTAAGGCCGATTCTTTATTGTATTGATAACGGTATAATGCATTGCAGGCTACGGACCGTTTTCACGCGTTATCGGTAGTACAATAAATGGTTAAAAACTAATAGTCATTATAAACAAGCTATCGAATAAAATGCACCCCTGAGTCCCCCCACACGGGAGACAGTAGTATTCTCTTTCGCTACGAGAAATTAATGATAATTTACAATATTGTTTATTTCGGTTTAATATCCATATATCTGTACCAATAATGATATCCACGTAACCGTACCACCGTGTAATGGTGTAATAGTAGATAATCTAATAAACACAATGGTTCGTTCGAGCCACTGGCGCGGCCGAAAAGCCCGTAAGCTCGTTGAATTTACGAACCTACCCACGACGGGCCTCTGGCGCGCCCGAAGAGCCCGCCAGCGTATTCCGTAGAAATACTACGGTAACAACTTTAATACTACTGTACATACGCGTCGTCAAGCACTCACTTTCCTCAAGAGAAGTGCCGGCTATTCGCGGGTCGTATCGCCCGCTGGATGATATTGCTACAGGAATACGATTTATAAGTTGTGCATATCGCGGACAAAGAAAACGTTAGAGCTGATACACTCATCCGGTACCCCCAGGAACGGGAGGAACTGAACAACTATCACAGGACGAATCTGGTATAATAAACCCGAACAAACTAATCGGTGCGCAATGGGGAGACAAAGAACTTACGAGGGAAATGGAAAATATAGAAGAACTGCAGAAACAGGATGAAACAATGGGTGTAATTCCTAGTAGCCAGTGAAGCCTGTTTCCAGTCATAGCGCTAAAAGGCAAAGTGATTTTGTTCAGTTCCAAACATTTGTTGAAGAAAAAGTTTATACGATTCTCCATCATTCTTTCACTGACTGTAGTAACCCGCATTTTAGAACAGTGGGATGCTCTTAGACAACGCACACGAATTGCGTCCCAGAGTAAAAACATTATTTTCCTTCCGTATATTATTACGGATTAAGGTTAAATCATAAGTTGTCATTGTTGGAATGTCTTTTGATAAAACTTCATGAATAAGTTTTGATGGTTTATCATAAAGTTCTTATACAGCCTTTCGTTAACTATAATATATTATAAACGTATAAAACAAAAATTAAAAAATAATAATCTTAAGTGTTTAATACTCATATAATAATAAAAAAGTATTATTAACAAAGACGTGCGCACGGGTGTCGCAGGGGTATGCTATAACAACACCTGCGAATAATTTCGGTTTATTCGCAATTTTTATTATTTTTTCTAACTATAGTTGGTAATTTTAATTTAGGTGGTCTGGAACCCTCATCTATTTGCCCCAAATCATTAACAGTGACATTTTCATAAACTTGATTTTGATAAATTGTTTTTTGATGAACCAGTTCAACATTGGTATGCGAAACAATGACTTTTAACAACACAAGTTAAAATTTAACCTAAACACTATTTGAAAAGCATACTTTTGAAAGCTGTAAAAGAAAGTAAAAAAAAAAAAAAAAATTACCTCTTTAGGTTCGTCCGAATTCTCATCGTTTATTGTTGACGTTTGTTTTGTAAAAAGTTTCAAAGTACGAAAATAAATTATTAACATTAGTTGTGTTACTTTTGTTTATTATTCTGAAGCTTAAATTACTACAGTAGCATCAATTATATCATAGTTCGTTCTATTTTTAGACAATAAACGAACAGAAATCATTATTTTTAACATTCTAATCTTACATAAACCAACATACTTCTACAATCGATATTAGTTACTAGTTAGTAAAAAAGTCTGTGTACAAACTTAACGATATTACGTGCATATTAAGGCAATATCACGGATATGAGATATTATTACATAAAATAACATCTAAAATTTAATTTTATCTAATCTGTCGTGATATTATATTATTGTATTACTCTATGGAATCTGAAAATAAAATATTTTATGTTCAAACAACGGTAGATTTATACACCGATAAATTACGTATTAACTATAGTAGTTATAACGGAATACAATGGAAAACAATCGGGAGTGCTCAGCAACCTTAGCACCCCTGGGATTCGCGCCAACGCTAGAACTTGTAAAATCCGATTTGCCATCACGCTCGCAACACGTAAAAATTAACAATATTCTGAGTTGCCGTTGACACACAAAATGCGGTGTCTCGCACGGCACATCACTCTCGCCAATACCATTCAAAACGAATTCTATAAATTCCCTATCACCAAACGGAAAATCGACTGATTTTTCAAATGACACTGGCCTTGTTATAACGGACGATCCGTGGAATAAAATCTTTGGAAACTTACAAAAGGTTATATACACATTATACAATTTTGATTATTGGATAACAACTTATTTTCAAACACAGAAAAAAAATGTATTTTGCTTCACTATCTAAATAATACAGATTACCCTAATGCGATTAACTTAAACTCTACATACTTATACTTGTACAAATGCTAGCAACTGCTCTTGTTAACCGACAATTATTAATATCAAATAGTGTTAAGTATCCAAGTATATATATATATATATATATATATATATATATATGTGTGTGTGTATAGAAACATGACATGGATTAAGCATATTCAAATACTAATAACCGAATTGAGAAAATTTTTCTATGATTTAAGACGGTTGCAAAATATATTAAACGTAAACCGATTAAGGATATAAAGCGCTCATCGAATTTTTAATTACGTATGGGATTATTGCTTGGAGTAGTGCTAATAACACAAATCTTCCGTCCAAAAACGATTTATATTATGCCAACGATCTTTATTCGGAATTCAATGTTTTACCAGTAATAACGACTTTTTTATAAAACAACTGTCACGGTCAAAAATAATTTAACGAAATTAACAAACCACATATATAATACGAGATGTAAAATCAATAATTCCCAAAATGCATAAAACTATCGCCCAATCGTCACACACACATTTATATACAGTTGAACTTTCCACAAGAGCTACTTGGTGAAAACCTCAACATTTTCAAGTTGAAATTACAAAATTTTTTTTATATTCTCTAATATTTAAGTATCTCTACCATTAAAGCTGTGGGATACTTTAGGATAAAAAAAAATTTAAAAACTTGTAATATAAGTCATCATGAGAGCCCCGACACGAGCATGCTAGTGGGGCCCATTATTCTTTTAAATAAACTCTTAATAATAATGATAATTATTATTATAGGATACAGATAAAAAAAGTTAAGTGTGCTTTAGTTTTGTTTTATGCGTCAGGGAATCCAAATATGAAATTTTATATTGCTTTTTTTGCATGTATTTCAAGTATTTTTGATATTTTGAGCTATTTTTAAATTGTTGGTGCTATTTTTCACTAATATGCAATAACATAATGATTGATTTTGTATTTTTCATAAAAAGTAGAAAAAAATCTTTCATTTACGCCAATTCATAGGAAAACTACTTACATTCTCGTTTCATATTATAATTTATTTTTAAGTAGCCCTACTTATTGACTCATCGAACAGTTACATTTATGACTTTTTTGGGTTGTATTTATATATTAAAAAAAAAAAAAAAACATTTTCTTTTTAACTATTTTTCATGTTTTTATGACATACTATAGCTTATTTTAAATTTTTTAGGACATAATTTAGCGCTTATTTTATGATTTGTTATCTCATAATATTATAGCACATATTTCAGTTATTTTCAGTGCTATAAAATACGAGCCCCGATTATGATATTCACGGGCGGATTGGGCCATCAGGAATTCGAGAGTTTGCTTAGTGGGTCACTTATTCAAATAACTATTTTAAAACATATTGTATGTGAAAAAATTATGCTGAAATACCTGTACATTTTTTTCGTGAAATTTGTTTTCTAATGGTTACTTGAGTCGAACTAGCGATTAGCTTGTTTACATTTCTGGGCAGTTATTACAGTAATCAACTATTTAGTTGTTTTATTTATCTATAGTGTATTCATTGAATTCTATTTGATAAGATATTTTAACCTGATATACATACAGAGTGATTTTAGATTTTGAGTGGAGCGAGAATCTTATGGTTTTGCAAGAATTAAATTTACAATATTAAACAAATATTTAATGCATATGTAATTATATTTTACTATAATATTACAGATAATATATTTTTGGTAAAGCAACACTATCAGCTGAACTGCGTTCAGAATCGTTTTTCCGTTAGCAATGGTTTATCGTTGCTTGCAGGTGTATATTGAATTACTTATAACAATGGCTGCACCAGACTCCATTATCCTAGGACGTCATATTTTCTTCCAAAATAATAAATTATTTGTGTAACATATTTTTTTAAAAAATTAATATTAAATTATGGTTAACTTTTTATTTAGTTTGGTTAATAGATAATTTAAAATCAACTTTTAATTATTGTCATTAGTACGAAATTAGATTAGAACCTGTTGATAATATGTCTCATATACAAGAAATGACTAAATCTTCAAAATATTAATTTTCCTTGTAAATATTTTCTTCTACAATTTCATTTTGTGAAAAAGAACTGAAAAAATAATTAATGTTTCCAAAAAATGAACAAAATTCTAGTACTGTCCTTCATAGATCTCTTTCAAAATTTATTTTATTTGTTTACAAGTGGTCTCTATTAGAGGTAAACTCCAATTATAATTATTTTACAAAATTCTTAAGTTTAATATGATTACTCGATTTATTTTGTAGAAATTTCAAATGTGATATTATTCAAAACTTTGAAATTGTAAAGTTTTCTGATAATATAAGTAGTCAAATGACACAAAAATATACAAAGAATTAAGTAATTTTTTTTTAAACATTTGTTTTATTTACTGTCAAAATCAAATTGCACATAACTATACATTTAACTATTAATAATAATAACTACACAATTTACAAGGTACACACATTTTCTTTGATTTTTTTTTCATTGTATTAGTTTCATTACTTTTTATCCATAACAATATTACAATTGTATGGTACTCTCTTTAAAAATGTAAAGCTTGCTAGGATAATACTTGAAAGTAATACAATATTTTTGTAAAAATATTATAACATCCAAATATTATAGTGTAGGACAATTTTTAATAATATTCACTTTCAACACAAATTATTTTAAATTCGATTTTTTCGCTAACACATATAATATTTGTACATATTTTATTTGAACAAAGGCGAATAATATTGTGCATTATAAACATTATCTGAACTAAAACATAAATAATCATAATAATAATAAAATATAAAAATAAGAAAAAAGTTTCAAGGGTGCGTATAACTACATATTGTACTGTATTATCTTTTTAATTAATTATAGTACATAATGTGTACATACACACATACAGGTACATCATTTAAAAGGCACTTAGAATATATATATTTTTTTTTTTTTTGTCTTTTTCTGTCATTGACATGAACAATAAGTAAAAATAATCCATTTTTAAAAACTCACAAACAACAATATTAATATTGCTGCTTGACAAAATAGCATTGGCCATGCCATGTACATATTATTATACATTTAGCGTTAAAATAATTAAATTTAGTTTAAAGTAAAATAATAAAACTTTAAATAAAAAGATAAAAAGTAAAATTAAAAAACATATTATAAAATATTGTTAGAGTTCTAATTAAAAATCATCCCCACGTTGGAGAACAGTAGAAAAACAAAATTACAACAGCACCTATCTTATAATAATACAATAATAATACAATAAGCGAGAAAATAAAAAACCAAAACAATTTTTTCTTCATTTTATCAATAATATTAATATTGTCATAATGATTTTTTTCGTATACAAGACATATTGCATCAATAAAATCTAAAATTTGTACTGTACTTTTATGTTTTCTGGAAAATCTTTTCACAAAGTTCCTATAAAATGACAATACTTAAAAATAGCTACTGGGTAGTATGAACAAACAACCAATGATAAAAGTTAATGTCTATAATACAAGATTTTTATCAGAGAACTATACCAACACCAACACCTGATGTAAATATAAAAAAAAATATGATGTTTAATTTAATAAGCACATTGATAAAATTATACACTATACAATTATTATTGGAATTTAAATGTGGAAAAAAAATGTAGTAGTGCTTTTAACATTGAGAATTCTGTGAGTATTGCAATATTAAAATGTTCCAATGAAAATATCAAATTTTAAAATACAAAAAAAAAATAATAATAAGGAACAATTTTACAAATTGTATGTTGTGTGATTGAAGGTTTTAATGAATTCAGTACCTATATTTTGTTAACATTTTAATACTAAACTGGTCTTAATTGCTTATTATTATTAATTTTATTTTTGTACATTGTATTACTTAGCCTATTATAATTTCCTTTTCTAAGTACAAAGCCATTAAAAATCCATAATAATAATAATAATAATAGTAATAAATCATAAAATAATAAATTATTGTAAAAAAAATATTTGCAATAATAAAAAAAAAAAATATGTATTAACAAATTGAGCAGAGCAGATCTGTTTAAAATAATAATGAAAAAAAAGGTAATAATGTACTTAATATTTAACTTAAAAAGCAAAGTATCGATACACAACAATTATGTGAGACAAAAAAAACAATAAATTAAGAGATAATAATAATAATATATCATTTTAAAATATATTAATGTACACAAAAATATGAACATGTGCAGGTCTTTGATTATTATTTTACAGACATTTTGACTAAAGTAATAAAGCAAAAATTACTCAGTGGACACAATTAATCTAACAATATTATATTATTGCCGAAACAAATTGTGTATATTAGGCCTGTAATTTTTTCCCCCATCTGATGATAATTGACAAGTGTTATTTTGTTTAAATATAAACAGAAAATATTGGGAATTGGTAGGTCCACCCAAAATATCTAGTTCATACTCTTGTGTAAACTAACATTTTTTAAAAAAGACATTATACAGGTACATACATTGCAGTTATATTTTTTTTTTTTACAAGTCAATTGAAACTTCCAGTGAATTATATATTTTTAAAATATATGGCACACGTAAAACACAAAAATCGATTGTATCATTTTCGGATTTACAAAAAACATTGACACTTTATGTAACAAAAATCTTAACAACTAAACTTAAAACATTGTACTATCTATAAATCAAAACATTAAATGTTTGTTTGTACTATAATATTACACAATTTATACTTGATTAATAAAGAAAAAAACATGTTATATATACATGTATAATAAAATAAAATACTCAATTCACAGAATTAAAAAAAAAAAAACACACAAAAAATTCAATTTTACATTGTGAGGTGAGTATAATATCAATAATAATAATAATAATATAATATTTTTAATTGTTGATAAGCACCAGGCTACATTATTTAATGTTCAATAATGATTTAAAATTCCATAAAATGAATAGCAGAAAAAAAAATGGATAATCTATTAATAATACAAATATTAATCAAAACATAATATATCATCAATCAGGTGTGTGATCCTACTTCATTGTTTAATGCCGGTTTAATAAAGAATAAAAACAAAAAAAAAAAAACTAAATAACTTTAATTGTTTTAATAATATTCTACATTTAAAACTGATAAATTGATTAAATATTTTATTTGTGTAAATTATATTCAGTGATTAAAAGGGCTTAAACAAAATTTTAATATTAAATTTATATTAAGTCTTTAAGGGCATATTATGTTTTTTTTTTAAAATATACAGTATTTACAGTATATTTTATTTTACAGTACATAGTCTTTTATTAATTAATCATAGTGTTATTATTGAGTTTGATATATTATTAAAATGAAAAAAAAAATACATATATATATATATATATATATTAATAATCAGAAAATTAAACTTTTATGTATACACATGAAAGATGTCTTCAGTTTTTGCGCTCCGCCGCCTAATCTACTAACATAATTAATAATGCGAGGCACTTCAGACTTTTCAATGCAATACATAATAATAATAAAAAGAGTATCCATATATTATATTATTAATATATAAATATATATTTGTATAGTGTCATCAGTCTTTCCTTTCTTCAGTCTAAATAGGAAATATGACATGACCTTACAAAAAAAAAAAAAAAAAAAATTATACATATAATATTAATAACTTAGGCTTGTATGTAAAATAAATACATCATATCATCATTGGTCAATAAGCTGTTTAAAAATATTATTATTTGTTAAATGAATGTGTTTGTGAGTGACTTGAAAGAATATTTAGTTGGTGACTAGTGTGTCAAATAATATTAAAAATAAATTGTGATAATAATTTGAATAAATTTAAAAAATAAATGATAAACAGAACAAAAAAAATTGCTGAGCTTTTTTAAAATCATTCCTGAGAGAATATTTTAAAATTGAACATATTTAATAAAAAAAATTTAAAAAAAAAAAACATAACAAAAAATTATTGCACTTAGGTTCAAGAAAGAAATGGAGATACATAAAATCAAAACTTTTGTTCGGATGTTGATACAATATTGTTTAAAATATTTAAAAACTATGTTTATAGTAAATAACACACATTAAAATAAGTATTGTAATAGTAAAAATAACAGTTATGTTTGTACTTTAAGTTGTATTGACTATACTGGATAAGGTTATTATTTAAATAATATTAAAATATTGCAATTTAAAAAGAATGAATTTAGAGTTTTCTCTTTAAATTTTAAATTGGCTATCAAGTTTATTAGCTGTTTATTAACTATCTAACTTTGCACTTTGATTTTTGTACTCTAATTGAAAAAAAAAAAATTGTGTAAAATATAATTAAAAATAATAATTCAAATAAAACATGATATTATATACATTGAGCTTTATAATTATTTGTTTATTTTGTTTATATAATGTTTATTATATATTTTATCAGTTGCTTTTTTTATTGAGATATAAAATGTAATATTAATAGTTCCATAGAACAATTACAAAATTATACATGATTCTCTGTTTGTTTGCATGCCTTTACATATATATTATTATGCATAATATGAAATGTATTACAAATCCAAAATGAAATTATTTATCTTATATTACAATGCTGTTGAACACATGAAATGAAGAAGTAATTAATAATTTGGTAAATGTAATGGGTACTTGAAAAAACAATAAAACACGGGATAACACTTTCCAATGTCATTTGAAAATATAAATAAATGTTTAGAAAAAATTGTTGATTTTTAACAAAAAATTTGATAATAAATAAAAAAAAATTAGTTTTCAATAAATACCGTAATAGTTTAACTTTGCTGTGTTGTAAATAAATATACCTACATATATAATATATTTATAAATAAAAAAAAAAAAAACAAAAAAAATGTTTAATAAATTAATAACTAAAATGGGAGTTCAATATTAGTACTTAATTCAAAGTGTGTAATAATTGTATTTGTATGGTTTACTTAGTACCTACTTTTTTTTTTTTATTGGTTTATTAAACTCAGTATCAACAATATATCAATATTATCTATGAATGAGGTAGTTTAAGAGGAATGGTATGTTATAATTATTACTAGATATAATATTATTTTGAGGGTTTAAGCTCATAAAGTTTTGTACATTATTTATTATAATTCTATGGCACAAAAGGGAAAAAAAATTATTTTAGACTTTGACAAAAAATATTTAGGAACGAACATATTTGTACTGGTGTAAGGCCGTTTAACAATGATGGTGTTTAATTAATGACTAGTCGTGAATCGACAATAAAAATTAAAAGTCTTCAGAGTATACAAAATACTGTAACTATTTTCATAAAAAATTAATACTTATGGGACTTTCTAATGATAAGTAGCAGATATTGTACCTCTAAGAAAAAATGATAGTACATTAATAAATCAGATGAGAAATAACTGTTTTACCGTGTTTCATAATAATTTGTTTAGTATTAGTTATTATTAATACTGTCAAACAATTCCTATTGACTTATTTGTATAATAATAATAATAATTGTTTTTAAAAAAATAAATTTTAGATCATTAGTTCCATTCACAACACAATAATTGATAAGATATCTCCATAACAACAAAAATTGTAATACAATCAAATAATAGAGTATTCCCTATAACTATTAATAATATTTTTGTGTGTCCCTCTAACCAACTACAATGTTGTATTGGCTCATCGATAATTATGAACGGCATCAAAACTTTTTTTTTTCTTGTCAACTGAAGGCCTATTTTAACAATGCTTAAATTGTTTGTTGGGTTTTTTTTTTGTTTTTTTTAATTTTATTCTTTTTTTGTCATATTTTTTTACATGACACCATTCTGTAGAGTTCTTCTTTGTACCTGAATATCTCGGTGGGATAATGGTGGTGGTGTAGGACATGGTGGTTGCTGTAAGTGGCATGAGAGATGATGGCGACGGTCAGAGATGACCGTCAGTTCTTGCTGGCTTGTAGGGGCAAAGGTGAGTTGTTCACACTGTCTTCTTCGTCATCTTCCTCTTCCTCCTCGGATCCGGACGTATATTCCGCGTCATCAGCCGCTATTTCGTCATGCTTGATTATATCCCCAGCCATCTTAAACAGAGGTGGATTGGTCGTCTCCACCAGGGCCTTCAAGTAAGAGTCCAGAAACGCCTTGTTGTTGTATGGTGACATCTTGTCGGCCCCGCCACTGGGTGGGAAGTGGTCCTTAGTGAATGACGGCAGGAAAGGAGACAGGGCACCACCAGTACCGCCACCACCACCCCCGCCACTACGTGCATAATTGTCTATCAATTCCATGGCTGTCGGGAACTTGTTGTGCAACAGCTGGACATCCGCAGGCCCGTATCGCAACAGATTGTTGTTGCTATGCTGTTGCTGAAGGTGCTGTTGCAGTTGGTGTTGCTGTTGCTGTTGTTGGGCATGAATCGAGTTGATGGTCAGGTCTTCAGGGTCGTCACCGCCGCAAACGCTGCTGTTGGCCGACTGCAAGTCCAACTTGACGTCACCTCGGCGGTGGACTCCGCCGGTGGTCACAGCATCCGTGGGTGAAGCCCTAGCCCGCAGTTCGGCCGGGGAAATCTGAAAAAACAGCCAGTTAATACATTGTTTTTATTTCGAAACCACGCAATAACTAATTCTAGAACTGGTCAAAAATCCACACACCGTTCTCCCCCATATCACCCAACAAAACTTCTTCTAATATTATTTACATTATTTTTGATTAACGAAACTAGTGATAAGTATTTACTTGGTAAATTGGGTAAATAAACAGAGCGCGCGTTGAGTAACGGCAATAAATAAATTAATCTGTAATAATTTAATTTAAATATAAATGTTACGAATGTTTGATTTCCAAACGTTCTTCAATTTTATAAAATAGGAAAATTATTGAAACCTTTAGAAACAAACTAATTATTAATGATTTATTGAGTACAATTAGCAGTTTAGAAAACACAAGAAACCCTTCTGATATAGCCAAACTCATGCGGGAACAAACCCACTGGTTTGATTCACTAATCAATTCATAAGGGCGTTAACATCACTTTCATTTGTGTACCAGGTCACAAAAATATTGAAGGTAACTAAACCGCAGATAAATCAGCGAAAGAAACTGCACTCCTTAATAATCACATTCAGTCCTTTGATATCCTCGCATACTCCGACATCAGAACGCAAATCAACAACTCAATCAAAACAAAATGGCAAGCCCACTGGTTGAGACAACGGATCAAACTCAGAGAAATACAAATCTCAATATATGATTGGCAAAATCCGAATCTCAAAAGAAGAGACAAAGTTTTAATTAATGCTCTCCGGATAGGTCACACATGGTTAACCCACAAGTTCCTAATGGCTACAGAAGAACCACCGCAGTGTACAACCTGTGTAGTTAGGGTGACAGTTAAACATATTTTAACAGAGTGCCCATCAATACATCGATGGTCTCAGAAAGTTCAACGTACCACTCGACATGGAAGAGACACTAGGTCCAGACATTGTAAACACGACAAATATAATAAACTCTTTAAGAAAAACGGATCTATACAACATAATCTAGAAAACACATCTTAATGAATTTATGATTATTATATTATTACGATTAACTTTACATACGTAATCAACTATTATTTACTCTGATGTAATTTCCATAAATGGTAAACTTAATCGAGGTTAATACCTTTGTTATTGATATTTTTGAATTCAATAAAAAAGAAACTAAAAAAAACTATTTTACTGTCTTGATAAAAATAACTTCGAAGACAACATAATATTTCCCTACCTATTTTGTTTTTAATTCATTAACAAAATTCTACAAACCGCATTGAAATCCGAATTTTGATCTGATTTTAAATAATAGTAAATAAAACAATTGGGTAAAACAAAAATTAAAAAGACGAACATATTTCGAACGATAAGTGGGCCGCTGTTGTAGATGAAAAGTTGGGAAGGTAGGATATGGAAAGAAGTTTCATGTATATCTATACGCAACGATTAATAATTGAAAATTGCAAATTGCAAATGAAAAACGATTCTGGGTGGAATTCGGTTATACATGTTTTAAAGCCCACAATATTTACGATTTTCGTCAAAATTTGATATTAAAATTCTTATAAAAAAAAAAAAAATACTACATTAAACTTAACTTTTCTTGTTGCTCACTAAGTACAAGTTATAATGAACCTCCTGTTAAAATGTCAAGCATTATTTTTTATTTTCAAAAAATTTTATCCGGAGAATGCTTACCAAATAAAAATTACGTAAAAAACTCGAAAAATTAAAATGTCTATAAATAGCTCAAAAATGGCTCAAATATTTTAA